AATATTTAAAATTTTGTGATTAATGTTGTAAAAGTTTATGGCTTGTGTTTAGTTGTATTTGGTGAAAAAACCAATTGAAAAGGACAAAAAAAGAGATGGGCAAATTACGCTGATAGTTCTATTGTTGTTGTTATATCATTTTAGGCTTAATTTTGACAATGAATTTATGATTTTGTCTCAATTTAGTTCAATTGATTACAACTGTTAACATTTTTTTATAGAAAGTAAGCATATAAGTAACATTTATCATGTTTTTAGGCCCCTGTTTGTTTTTAGAGGTAGAATGGAGATAATTGATAGTGAGGAGATTGATAGTGAGGGGATTAAGTAAAATTACGTTTATTTTGATGATAGTTGTTGGTGTAAGGATTGTTGAAATATTTTTATATAAAATAATAAAAAAAATAAAAAAAATGCAAAACATTAAACATTAATGTTCAAAAAAAAAGACCAACATGTAAAAAATAAAATTAAAAATTAAAAAAAATTCCATAAAAAAATAAAACAATGATTTTTACTTAACAAAAAATACAAAAAATTAAACATTAATGTTCCAAAAAAAAAAATGCCCAACATGTAAAAAATAAAATAAAAAATAAAAAAATATATAAAAAAATAGTACCGCAGACTAATTTATAATATCAAGTCTCACGGGGCCTATCCTAATCCCCTCTCCATGGGGATTCGTATAGTCCGGAGAAGATTACGAATCCCCTCTCCATCTCTCAAAACAAACATGATATTAGTGGATCCTAACTCACTATGAATCCCAATCCCCTCCCTGCAACATAAAAGAAACGGGTCCTTAGGGACAAAATTATAAACTTGCTGAATTTAGTGAGTTGACTTCAACCAATTTAGTGATAATTTTTCATTAAAAACACTAATGGTATTATCAATTAGACAAAATTGACACAAAATTTAAAATTAAGAGTCAAAATCGAGACATTTGAAAACGTAGAGACCAAAATGACACAAGGGGTAAAATTTAGAGACTTTGAGTGTAATTTGCCCGATTTTTTTAATATTTTCCTATAATTCTTTAATTTAACATATTTATAGAAAAACAGTTCTAGACTTTTTTAAGTGGACTGTGTGATAAAAATTGAATTAGTGCAATGTGAGATTCAAATACGAATAAATTTAGATTATATATTGATATTTCTGAATAAAAATTTTAAATATATATATATTTTTTTATTTGTAATATTACTAATAGAAAAATTATAATGTCTGCATCACAGGACCTTCCCACTCTATCCCCCAGAATTTATAATATATTATTATAGCAATACTAGAATTTTAGAAATAAAAACCCAAAAAATACCAAAAATTTAACATCAATAGATTTAATGAAGATAGGGACTCACAACAACTAATTCTGACTCATGAATATGATAGTCTGATTTTTTTTTATGGTCAACCATGGACTTTTCTGGGATTGGTTTTGCTGCAATCAACGGTACGGTGGGCATTCGTCGGCCGAGCCAGATTCAGATCAGGCTAGCACTATATAATAAGGTTTTTTTTTTTTTTTTTGGTTTAAGTTCGGTTTGGTCCTAATATCGGGTCTCTGTATTTGTCCAAGTTTGAGCCAAAAAATAATTATAAATTCCAAGTCTATTAATTAGGCTATATGTTAAAAAAAAAAAATAAATTTAAACATTTCATAACTGAATTCAATCGTGCATTATATTTATTAAATAAATATATAGATGTCATTATAAATTGAAAGATTTTTTAAATAAATTGAATCACACATCACCATAAATGTGGATTTCAATAAATCAACAAAGATAAAATCTACATTCCAATAAAGAATATATATTTTAATATATTTAATTAATTAATTCATTAATTTAATAGGCTAGGTTGAAAATATAAATTCCAAACCTAGCCCATTAATATATTGGGCTGAAAATGTTGGCACAGCCTGATCCTATGGGCTAAAATAACATTTCCAAACCCTAAAAAAATAGGACTAGATTGGGTGGGTTGAGCGGGCCGATGGGCTGATGCCCACCTTAGTCAACACTGGTGTTGTGGATGATGTGTCCCAATTAGGACTGCAAATGAGTTGAGCCGAACCGATTTGAACTTTAGTATGTTTAGCCTTGTTTATTAAGATTTTAACAAGTTTGAACTCGAGTTTAAGTTCAATAAAAATTTAACGAACTGAACTCCAGCCAATTTTGCTTAGACTTAACTCGAGCTCAAATCTGTTCACAAGCCTTAACGAGTCAAAAAAATTATAAATTCACACTTGCGTATGAGACTAAAATTATAATTGAAACTTTGATTATAGAATTATATATACAATATATATAAACATACTAAAAAAGAAAATCAATATCTTACCAAAATAATAATATCTACCACTACTATTATATAAATGTATTATCTATAATTAACTATTATTTACATATAAATAAATTAGCTATTATTTACATTTATATTATTTAAATATATAAATAACACATTTTTCTTATTTTTATTCATATTTTTACATTATTTCATATATAAATAATACATTTATTTATTCTATTAAATGTTAAACGAGTCAGCTAATAAGCTGACTTATTGAGCCGAGCTTTAATACATTTGGAATTTTTTTATTAAGATTTTAATGAGTTCAAGCTCGAGCTTGAACGCAATACAAATTGAGTTTTAACGAGTCTTTACTGAGACGAGCTCGAACCTGTTCATGAATGACCCTGTTCATTTACAATCTTAGTCCCAATAAAGACTTGCCACATGACAACAATTGTAACGCCCTCAAATTAAACCCATAATGTACATAGCATTAACGTGCATTATTAAAAGAAAATGAATCTTTGAATTATTCATCAGAGTACTCTAAACCCAACCAACCTGAAACAAACCTGCCCAACACATCCTATAATTCCAAAAGAGAAAATAAGGAATAACAACAACAACCATTATACAATGACAAAATCTACGGAACAGTCCGGATACAATAATTAAATGGGAAAAGACCAGGGTCGCTATAACAATGGCCCAATGTGTAACATTTAAATAGGGCAACAAATGAAATAAGCCGCTTGCAAGCTAGTTCAGCTCGTTAAGGGTTTGGTTATGGCTCGACTCGTTTAGTAAACAAGTTGGCTCATGCTCAGCTTATTTATCTTTATTTAAATAATATATAAATATATGTAAATAATAGCATAAATATATTAAATAATATAAAAAAATCTGATCAAGTCCAACTGAGCCGAATTCGAACCTAATTAGTTATCCAGTCAAGATCAACCTCAATAAAACTCGGTTCGACCCGATTTATTCAAGATCAACCTCAATAAAACTCGGTTCGACCCGATTTATTTATAACCCTACATTTAAACTTAGCGGAGGTTAACGTTTTCAACTCTTCAATTTCCTCTTTAACGTTTCAGATCCATTATTTCTGCCCCCCCCCTACATTTAAACTTAGCGGAGGTTAACGTTTTCAACTCTTCAATTTCCTCTTTAACGTTTCAGATCCATTATTTCTGTCCTTTTTTTTTTCTTTTTTTTTTTTCTGTTTTTTGATACTTTGGAAATTTTCCTTATTAACGTTCTTTAATATTTTTTCATTTTTATTTTTCAATCTTCTTTTGCCACTCATGAAATATTGGGGCGAGAAATCAGCATGTTGAACCATTTGATCATATTTCATACACAGCTTTGAATCTTATGCTTGAATGTCCATGATATAGGGATGGTTTGTTACAGTTTTTGGAGTGATTATGACTTATTTTGATTTGGGAGTTTGTATTAGACTGTTTGGTACCGTTTTCACTTATAGCTTATTAAACAGAAATAACTTAAATAAGCTGAAAAAGCTAATTATTTGAAAGTTAGGATAAGGGTGCTTTTAATTTTTACTTTCTGATTATCAGCTTTTAACTTAAAAAAGCTCTACAAAATAGGACCATATATGTATATATGTATATATACACAAAGTAATAAAGTTATAAAATAACATTTAACAGAGAGAAATAGAGAGGAGATCAAGGATGAGAAGGGTAATGGCAAATAATAAATTAACTGTTAGGGAGATTAAAAAAAAAAAGAAAGAGAAAAAAGAAGGGTAAATAATAAATAATAGTATAAATACATTATATATTAAATAATATAAATAGAATTTTTTATTTAAATATTTTTATTTAAATGATATAAATAATATTAAAAAAATTATCGAGCCGAATCGAGCTGGGCTCGAGTTTCATTACTATTAACGAGCTGAGCCGAACTAAACTCGAGTCCAGTTCCTTATCAAGTCGAGTTTGAACTCAATAAATGAGCTCGATAAGTAAACGAGCAGAGCTTAAATTCAGCAAAATTTAACTCGGTTCGATTTGTTTGTAGCCTTAAACACAGCACCCCTACGGTAGAGCAAGCACCCCTCCTCCATTTCCCAAATGCAGGGCTTGCTGAAGAGGGAAGGCAATGAAGGACCTGCTTTAGGCCCCTGGTTTAATAAAGGCCTCATTTTGAACTAAGGTCTCATATAGACAATTAAAAAAACAAAAAACAAAAAAGAACAAGGCTTCAGTAGCTTTTTTCAAACTATAATAAAGAAGTCACATTGGCTTACAAAAGAAAGGAAACAGGCTCCGTATAGCCGATAAAAAATAAAAGAAAAAAAAGAGATTATATATTATCGGAGGATATTTATTATTATATTTTTATTTTTTATGTGTATCCAAATAACAAATGTTATGTGTATATGTAAAATTTATTATATTTAAAAAATTATGACAAAAAAATATACACATGACATTGTTTGTTTTTTTATTGTGAACTCAACAAGTACACGTGTTTGTTATATGGTATTGAAATTCATCTAATGATAAATATATTTTTTCTTGTGTTCAAATAAATTGTGGATCATCAGTGTTTGTTTGAAACTCTACATTCAAAAATTATGATTTACTATTACAATATGCTCTCGACTAAACATATTAAAAAATAATAATAATAATAAAAAAATAAACTTTGAACTTTTGCTTTAGGCCTCACATGTGTTGAGTCGGCCCTGCAAAAATGCATATATATCATTGAGTGCATCAACAATATTCTTGCCTTTTATATCATTGAATGCATCAACATTCACCACAACAAAAGGCCTCACCGAGGACAGAAGAGATCATGGATTCAAAACAGAGCAAAATGAATGTCCTAATGCTACCATGGTTAGCCCAAGGTCACATCACCCCCTTCCTAGAGCTTGCCAAGAAACTCACACACAAAAACTTCCACATATATTTATGTTCTACACCAATCAATCTCAAATCCATCAAGAAAAGAATCACAGACAAGTACTCTCTCTCCATTGAACTTGTAGAAATCCACCTTCCCACCTCGCCTGAGCTTCCTCCTCACCACCACACCACCAATGGCCTCCCACTCCACCTCAATTCCACCCTCCAAGAAGCTTTTGAAATGGCAAGCCCAGACTTCTCCAACATCCTCAAAACACTAAGCCCAGACCTTGTTATTCATGACTTCAAGCCGTCATCGGCACAATCCATTGCCTCGTCCTATAATATTCCTGCAGTTCAGCTCATGACTGCCGGAGCTGCGGTGGTTAGTTTTGGCAGTCATATGTTTAATCACCCCGATGTTGAATTTCCATTTCCGGCAATTCGTCTTCACGAATTCCAGGAAAAGCTGTTTCGCCAGATGGTCATGGATGTTGCAAGAACAGCCAAAGAAAAACAATCCACCCCTGTGAACAATGATCAACCACCTTGCAACATCACGTTGTTCAACACTTTTAGAGAGCTTGAAGGAAAATACATCGATCACTTGTCAGTTACAGGTGATAAAAGGGTTGTCCCTGTTGGTCCACTTGTTCAAGGCATTGTTGATGATGAAAAGGAGCACTCTGAGATCATACAATGGCTTGAGAACAAGGGTGAGTACTCCACTTTGTTTGTTTCATTTGGGAGTGAGTATTTTATGTCCAAGGAAGAGATTGAAGAGATAGCTCATGGGTTAGAGTTTAGCAAGGTTAATTTCATATGGGTTGTTAGGTTTCCTGAGGGAGAGAAAGTTGAGGTTGAAGCAGTGCTGCCAAAGGGGTTTATTGACAGGGTAGGGGTTAGAGGATTGATGGTGGAGGGTTGGGCTCCACAGGCAAGAATTCTAGCCCATTCAAGCACCGGTGGCTTTGTGAGTCACTGTGGGTGGAATTCAATGTTGGAAAGCCTATTTTATGGGGTTCCAATTGTAGCCATACCCATTCACTTTGAGCAGCCATTGAATGCTAAACTGGTGGAGGAGGTTGGTGTGGCTATGGAGGTCAACAGAGACATGAATGGAAGACTCAACAGAGAAGAGATAGCACAGGTAATAAGGAAGGTTGTGGTGGAGAAAAGTGGAGAGGACATAAGGATGAAAGCAAGAAATTTTGGGGAGAAGATAAGAAGGAAAGGAGATGAAGAGATAGATGAAGCAGTAGAAGTGTTGATGCAGCTTTGTAAGGATTCGAAGTTGCTTAAAAATTAGTATTGTGACTTTATTGAAATATTTAGGTGGTTAAGAGCTATTGTTTTGTTGTGATTTGTTCTTTCCGTAATAAATCTTATTGTCCTATGTAATATATGAGCAAAGATTTCCTATCTCTAAATATTCTTTTCCTTCTGTTCCAAATTACTCATAACCATTGGAGCATATGAGAATCTCAAGATTTGATAATCTCAATATATATCCAATGGTTGTGAGTGATTTGGGATAGGAGGAGAAGAATATTTGGGGACAGGAGATCTTTAGGCTTAATATATATACAAACTGATCCTTGATTTGGTTGTATACAAGTTAATGATGTTTGTTATTATGGGACTAAAGTATTGGGTTTGGCTGCTCTTTTTCTTAGTCACATTTCAGTACCTTATTTTATGAGTAATCACATTATTGGTGTAATAAGTTCTACAATCATGTTTACCTCTAATGCAGTATTGATATATAAGGTGATATATTAAATGTGATATAAAATGGGCTATGATGCTGGTGGTTGCGGAGGTGGGATGGCTAAGGATAGTGCTCAGTTAATGGCGGTGGCATCACAAGTAATGGTTGAGGTGAGTGTGAAGTTAGGATTAAAAATGTGTGAAGATGTAAACAAAAGGGATCATGTTAATATGTGTTTTTAAAACACAGGTTAAGAGGCTTAAAAATTTGTACATTATTTAAGGTTAAAATTAATAATTTTAAGAAAGTTGTCAATTTTGAAGTATACATGTAAATAAAATTAACAAAAATTTAGACGGAATAACCAAATTAAAATTAGTCTAAAAATATAGGAATTGAATTATTAAAATTAAAATTATAAAAATTAAAGTAAAATTTGAGTCAAACTACATAAAGGTGAAAAGTGTAATTAACCCAAAAATTAGAGAAGAACAACGAAGGCCATCGAAATCGAAGACAATTGCTCTCATATTTGAGATTGAATGACTGTTTCAGTACACTCAATGCTCTCTATTTCTCTCGATTGGGGACATTGAGAAACATCACGACATATTTTTGATCCCCTCTTTGTTGGTTTGTGTACAAATATTGTGTTTGATTGCTCTTGTATGATTGCTTTGGATTTTATTTTCTTAGAATCTTTAACTTCTCTTTGTGCCTGCTAGGTGTTTGAGCAAATGCCGCAAACAGACATTGTTAATTGTCACAAACTAAAATTAATTACTGGGTTAATTGTCAAAGTGCAAACTTCTTTGAAGATGTAGAAAAGTTCATTTGTTTTATAATTAAAAAAAAAAAACTAAAAAAAACTAAAAATAAACAAAAATAATTTTTGAAAACCAAAGAAAATAAAAATCCTTTATTTATTTTATTAGGTCTTCTTGAAGCGATCTTGAATAAACAACTCTTACCCAACAACTTGGCGAAGTGTCTGATATATATTTGTCTGATAATAACATGGGGAGTCGTGCTAGGGAGCTCGAAAGCCCCCCCTCCCCCCCGAATTCGAAAAAGGAAGAAGAAGAGAAGGAAGAAGAAGAAGAAGAAGGGCTGGACTGGAGGGGCCAACATCAACCGGGCTGGGCAGGGGGCGGAGGCAGAGGCAGAGGCAGAGGCAGAGAGCGGGCTGAGACGATTAATGGCCGACAAGCTTGGCGACGAGCTGCTTAGCCTGTGAACGATCTGGCGAGCTGGCGAACGATCGCCGGCGATCGGACTGGACTAAGAGTGCCGCGACGATCGTCTCTGCTTCCTCTCCGCTCCGCCCTCTCCCTCTTTCTCTTTCTCTCCCTCTCCCTCTCCCTCTGTCTCAGACCTGCACCTGCATGAAGAAGAAGAAGAAAAAAAAAAAAAGAATGGCATTCGGGGGATTAGGGGGGACAAAATTCGGGGAAAAAATCATTTTCCTAACATGGGGCCTGTATTGGAATTGTTGCTCTATTTTTGTCCCCTTTAAATCTCATTTTTTGTAAAAAATAAATAAATAAAATAATTCTATTTTCACATAATGATGTAACTAAACACAGTAGGTTGTTATATTCTTTTTGAAAAATGATTCATTTCTTTAATTTTGTCTCCCCAATTTCACCCCTATTGATGTGAAATTCGGGGTTAAAGATGAAAGAGAGAGGAGTGTAGAATCGTTTCACATAGATCTTAGCTACGTTATTAGCAGTGAAATTAAGGGCCTCGATTAGGGATGTATCATCTGTCATTTTATTTTTAGGTGCAATTTCCAACTAGTTTCATTAGGTAGATTTAAATACCATTAAGTCCTATTGACTTTTTATGAAAAATGTGTATTAAAAAATTGTATAAATTAGTGTGTAGGAAAAAATTAGGATTGAGAGTTGTGTAGCCGTAATTTTTGACTTTTGATGAATAGTGATAACTTTTTAACTTTTTGAATAACTTTTTAACTTTTTAACAACTTGCCAAATTTGACCTTAGTGTGGGATTGAAGCATTGTTCTTTAAGTGATTTACAGAAAAAACAAAAAAAATTGTCCTAAACATATTATTTTATATTTTTTTTGAGTGATGTGCTTATGCGGTAAATATAAATAGATGTAACGTAGAATCTAAATATTAATAAATTTAAGACAAAAATTAATATTTCGTGTAAAATTTTTAAATTTATAATATAACTGATAACAAAATTATAATGCTCTTGAAATACATCAGGGCCTTACCTTTCTATCCCTAGAGTTCATAATTATTATTAGTACAATACTATAATTCCAGAAATAAAAATCTAATTATTAGTACAATACTATAATTCCAGAAATAAAAATCTAAAAAATATCTAGATTTACTGTTTATATGGACCCACAAGAATCACTTCAAATGCTAATCATGAATATGATAGTCTCATTTATTTATTTATAATTTTTTATAATTTGCTTTTTGAACCATAGACTTTTCGACTATATTATGAGCCTCATGTTTGATCCATATCTTCCAGTATCAACATTGTGTTATCGAAATGTATATATATAATATTCATATTTTTAGACATAAATTCATCCAAAGTGATGTGACAAGAGAGTTGGACCTGACGTCACTGAATGTGTAATAGATAAGAGATTTTTTCTTTTTTGTCAGTCTTAAACATCATTGAGGGCACCACCATTCTTGTCTTGATCACCCATCACCAAAACAAAAGCCTCACCAAAGGGAGAGAGAGGGAATCATGGGTTCAAAATAGAGCAAGATAATGTCCTAATGCTACCATGGTTGGCCCACGGTCATATCTCTCCCTTCCTAGAGCTTGCCAAGAAACTTTTTGAGAGAAACTTTCACATATATTTCTGTTCAACACCAATCAATCTCAAATCCATCAAGAAAAGAATTATAGATAAGTACTCTCTCTCTCCATTGAACTAGTAGAAATCCACCTTGCATCCTTGCCTGAGCTTCCTCCTCACTACCACACAACCAATGGCCTCCCAATCTATCTCAATTCCACCCTCCAAGAAGCCTTTGAAATGGCAAGCCCAAACTTCTCCAACATCCTCAAAACGCTAAGCCCAGACCTTGTTATTCATGACTTCAAGCCGTCATTGGCACGACCCATTGCCTCCTCGTATAATATTCCTGCAATTCATCTCATGACTTCCGGAGCTATGCCAGTTTGTTTTAGCCGTCATATATTTCACCCCGATGTTAAATTCGCATTTCCGGCAATTTGCTTCATGAATTCCACGAAAAGCTGTTTCACCAAATGATGGAGACTGCTGCAAAAACATCCAAAGAAAAACAAGTCATCCTTGTAAATAATGATCAACCACCTTGCAACTTCATGTTGTTCAATACTTTTTGAGAGCTTGAAGGAAAATACATCGATTACCTGTCGGCTATAGGTGAGAAAAGAGTTGTCCCTGTTGGTCCACTTATTCAAGGCTTTGTCGATGATGAAAACAAGAACTCTGAGATCATACAATGGCTTGACAACAAGGGTGAGTACTCCACTGTGTTTGTTTCCTTTTGGAGCGAGTATTTTATGTCCAAGGAAGAGATTGCAGAGATAGTACATGGGTTAGAGCTTAGCAATGTTAATTTCATATGGATTGTTAGGTTTCCTATGGGAGAGAAAATTGAGGTTGAAGAAGCACTGCCTAAAGGGTTTATTGACAGAGTAGGAGAGAGAGGATTAGTTGTGGAGGTTTGGGCTCCACAGGCAAGAATTCTAGCCAATTCAAGCACTGGTGGTTCAGTTAGTCACTGTGGATGGAATTCAATATTGGAAAGTGTTGACACTAAAAATTGCATATTCTTTGTTGATTGTATGTAACAAATGCAGAAAATTGGTCCAGCGGATGCTAGGTTTAAAGGCTACGAGTTTCCACAAGTTTACAAGTGAAAAGCAAGTGAATACGAAGCCTAGAATATAGAGCAAGTGACAGAAAGGAAATGATTAAAGAGATAGATGTGGTCGTTACAGTTTTCCCTGTCGATTCGTCTAGTAATGAAGTGGAACGTGGGCAAACATGGCCCAAGTGTCAAGCCATAAAGTTAGCATGCAAGATATACAGGATACGTGTCATGTTTCCTAGAAGAAGAAAAGCTGCAACAGAGAAGCAATTACTGGCAGTTGCAGAGATCATGGGCATTGAAGTGGAAGTAGTTGGCTATGTGATGGGACATGTGACAGCAGAGCAGCAGTGGAGTATGAAGATTAGTAATATAAAAGCTGGGAATTTGAAGTTAGAAAGGACCTTCAAACAAATTTATAACCTTTATAGCATTAGAAGTAACTTAACTTAGTTAGTTCTTACTTAGGAGTAGTCTATCTGCAGTTCAGTTTCTATAACTAAGAATTCTCCGTCGATTGTCATGTACATTGAACTGGAAGTTTAATTTTACTGATTACATTTCAAGTTTGTTTGTTCAACAATTGATTTTCAGTTTATTGCTTCTTGTTTCTTCGCATCACAGCCTCCAAAGAAGTCCTTGAACCTGTCAAGGCATAAGATGTTCAGACCACAATTGCTTGATTTATTGTTATTTGTAAAAGTTTGGCTTCTCTGTCGAATCACCCTTGTTGATTTGGCTCAGACTAGATTTTTTGCTAACATATTTTGGCACGTCCAGTGGGACCTGTCTAATTTGGAGTGATGGCTAGGAAGAAACATCATGAAGTCTTTGAAGATCCTGAGAAAAGGGTCGAAGATGAAGAAGAGTTGGACGATGAAATTGAAGGAGTACAAGACAACTTAACTGATGGCCATTCAGTGGCTAGGCAAGAAATAGGCCAAGGAAATGGCCAAAATGTGGCCAAAACTGGCCAATCCAGTCGTCTACCAGTTGATTCAAGAAAGGCTCTTTTGCTGCATACCTAGCAAGCAATTGGTTCCATGTCAGCATATGAGAACCAAGTGATGATTGATGACGTAATGGCTTTGTTTGAGAAAGCCAACATCAAGCCCAGTCAATCCAGAAAGATTGGAGAGGAAGCACAGG